TTGGTTGTGGCCAAGGGGTTGGTATCCACCAAGTGACTGAGCCCACCCACTGTGTAGGTACCAGAAACACAAGTGAAGTCTATGATCTATTTATCTTTGTATAAGCCAGTTTTGCCCAAATATATTGAATCACAGAAACATTTATTTGCAATAACTATTAGATTCACCAAAACTGGTAGTGAGCACACTTTAGGAAGTGCTGATTTAACTACTCTTTTGAGATCATAGGAAGGGAGCATCTTCCAGATTCTATGTGCTATGTAATGGGCATGACCAAACTCAGTTCACAGAACAATCAGCCCTTACATCAGGATCCCTATTTCATATATAAAGTTGGTGTGTTAGAAGCTCTTATGGATATGCAGTTTTAAGTGGTACTGGGACTTTAAGCCAGTGTCTGACTCCAATGCCCAGTGCTGCATTCAGAATGTACTGACAGTGAAAACAAAATAACATAAAGTATTTATAACACCTTCCAAATGCATGCTCTCAGTGAGCCTTTCATAAGATAAAAGAATTTTCTTGGTGAATTTTTCACCCATGAAATAATGAATCTGCCTTCTCATGTGGCCTACCATCTGTTATGAGGCCCAAGAGACACATTTTTCTCTTCCCTGCAAAGCTAGGCTGAACAATTGTATCAAATAACTAAGATGCAGGATGCAGAATCCTTTTGTGGAGAATCAGAGGTCATGAACTCTTCCAAATACTGTTAAATTGAAACAAATATTCAGAATATTATAAATTTCACAAGATTCATCTAGAGATAAATTTGTTAGAAACGTAAACTTTAAGAGAAATTTACAGACTTTTATTAACCAGCTAACAGAGGCAGCTGGACCAAAATCAAGGTAGACTTTCAGGTTGGCGTTAGTTCTGTTCAGATCCTGATTTACTCTTTATTCTTAAAATGAAAGCTGAAATTTGCTGTCGAGCATCTTTTTCACTTCATATGAAATAACTCAGTGTTTTATACCTGCTAGTGTTTCCATATTTTCAGGAAGCATTTAATATTTAATGAGTGAATTGTTATACCAATTAATATTAAAAGAAGCATTCCATAAATAAAGTCAATCTGGAGTTGAGGCTGCATGCAGTAGAGACTTCTGAAAGCAAAGAAGAAGAAATAGAAACACTTGAGGTTGACTAAGAAGACCACCTTGTTAACAAAGGACCATGAGATCTATGGAGAAAGGAAAGAAGAAAACTTTGAGACCAGATCTGTAGATCAAAGAACGTAGCCTCCAGGGAAGATGAAAACACAGACTCCAAAGAGGGGAAAGGGAAATCTGGTATTTGTGTTTTTCAGGGTCTGCCTTACATGCATATTTAGCAGGTTTGGGGGAAATCTATGAATATTTATGAGGGAAACCCTAAATGTATGTGCAGTGGGAGAGTAAGTAGCATGCATTCTCTGTTCATCTTATGGTGAAGTTTTAACATTAAAATGAGGTAGGATTGGGCTCTTCACAATCAAAAGGTGAACTATAGGGCATGTGGGCAAGGGCTAGTTTCTGCTCAATTAATAGGAAACAAGACCTTATGACAGTTAGGAATACAGGGGTTTGTGACCAACCCCTCTCTACAACAGTCACTTGATTTCATTTCTGGTGTGCCTTGCTTTAGACACAGGGAGTTCATTTCTTCTGTCAGCCGAGGGTATATATTAATAGCTCTCTCAGATTGAAACAGAGATTACAATGAGAGAAGACCCATTCAAAGAAAGCTCGATTCATGATGGCAGCACAGGAGGGACCAGTAGGGATTAACTAGGGACATCTGGTGAGTTGACCATGACGCAGTCTTTGTGGAAACACAGACACAGCAGCTAGCAAGCAGGAGACCCAAGACTAAAAGAGTAATAACTACTTCTCCTAGCAGTAGGAGAGCCCCGTCGGTATCAAAGAGCAATGTCTCTTTCCAAGGGTAGTGGGAGGGTAAACGTCGTTACCCATGAGGACTACTCTCAGAGCTACGTATAGTGTAGTCCCCTCACAGGTATAAGATGTGGGTACCACACAAGAGGCCATAGCAAGGGGTCAAGATTAGGAGGCTGAAGAGTGAGAGCCAAAAAAACTCATTCTGGAACACACAGGAGAAGAGATCCTGAAAGCATTCCTAAAGAGGTGGGAGAATCTTTGAGGGTGGCTGATTTCTAGCAATCAGTCAGTTTGAGACAACATAAGACCCTTAACTCTATGTTGCAGTGGCAGGCTGAGGAAGTTCATTAGAAAATGCAATACTGGCCGGGTATGGTGGGCTCATGCCTGTAATCCCAACACTTTGGGAGGCCGAGGTGGGCAGATCATGAGGTCAGAAGATTGAGACCATCCTGGCGAACATGGTGAAACCCCATCTCTACTAAAAATACAAAATTAGCTGGGCATGGTGGCACGTGCCTGTAGTCCCAGCTACTCGGTAGGCTGAGGCAGGAGAATCACTTGAACCCAGGAGGCGGAGGTGGCAGTGAGCTGAAATTGCACCACTGCACTCCAGCCTGGGCAACAGAGCGGTCTCAAAAAAAAAAAAAAAAAGAAGGAAAATGCAACACTATGTAATGATGTAGGGTTGGATGTGTTGTTTATGTTGGCTATTGCTTGTGTTTACACAGCGCTCCATTTCTCCTGTAACAAACATCTGCTCCATCTGATGATGATGGGAGTGGGTATACGACCCAAGTGTGGCCAATCACACACAGTACATGGTGCCCATGGGTTGCTGTGATTTGTATGAGCATGAACACATAAGAGCAAGCAAAAGAGACTATATCCTTGAACTTAATTGAGTTTGCTTCATATATATAGTAACAAAACCTTTATAATATAATTGGGAGAATTGAAATGCTGCCTGGAGTTTAATGACATTAGGCAATTGCAATGAACGTTTAAAGTGCACTGATAATATTGTCCTTATCCTTTGTATGTACATACGGGAATACTTATGAATGAAATGATTTGAAATCTCATATTTGAATCAAAATAATAAAAATAATTCAAGGGAGTGTGGGTCGATGAAACAGGATTGTCCACGTTGAAACAGGATGGTGGATGCATAGGGATGGGTTAATTATGCAAATGAAACTGATCACATATAATCCCTTTGCATGAAATGTGTATTTGTTTTTGTAAATAAATGTATATTTCTATGCATAAAACAAAAAACTGAAGACTACACACATGCACATATAAAATATATTGCATTTAATATATTTCACATATATAAATATCAATATTATATTTAAATCTTCAGCCCATCTGGACTTTATTTTAGAGCATGGTGAGAAGTATGTAACTTTTTCTCCACAAGTAATTATCAGAGCGCCATTTACTAATTCACAATTATTTCACCAATTTGATATGTCGTGTTAATCAAATTCTAAATACTCACGGTCTGTATAACCAATTTATTTGATCTTATATTCAATAATCTATAATCTATTCAATTTATTTGATTTTACATTTTAGCACATGTCATTGTGTTAATTATTATGGTATGCAATGTGATGCAAAATATGAAAGCTCAAGTTTCTTCTTGTAGAAGTTACTCCCATTTTTCAGTATTTTATTTTATTTTATTTATTTATTTATTTCAGTATTTTAAATGCCTTCCTGCTCCTTTACTCTTTCAGATAAAATTTAGAGTAATCTTTTCAAGTTTTCAAAAATTCCAGTTGATTTTTAGATTACAGTTCCATTTCATTTATATATTATTCGGGGGGGGGAAATTTTAAGAATCCTGAATGTTGAATCAGCTTTATGAAAATTGCATAGCTTATATATTTTTAAAAGGCCTCAATAATACAAAATGCATAGTACTTTTGATTTTCTTTTCAGAAACAGTGGCATGATCTTTCAAAGTTCTGAGTTCTTCATTTTATGTTTCTACTAGATTTTTTTTTCTTATTTGCCCCAATGGAACACATCCTGATTTATTTATTGATTTTTAATTTATTTTTATTTTATTTCAACAGATATGGGGGAACAGGGGATGTTTGGTCACGTGAATAAGTTCTTTAGTGGTGATTTCTGAGATTTTTGTCTACCAGACTTTTTTTAAAAACAGGGTGTTTCCTTATTTCTAGTATGGTCAATGCAGAATCAGGTAAGATTTGGTTTACCAGTATAACTTTATTAAAGTATAGTGTGTATTTATTTCTAATGTGTGGGTTTCTGACAAATGTTATCCTCTATTTTTCATTTTGAAAATGCTGCTGTATTCCTAAGAGAAGGCAAAATGCCTATGTTCGGAAATTGGGCTCCCCCTGCTGGTGGATTTGGCACCTTCATTGCCTCTAATTCTTAGAGCCTTTTATTTCTTTATTTTATTTTATTTTATTTTTGAGACGGAGTTTCGCTCTTGTTACCCAGGCTGGAGTGCAATGGCGCAATCTCGGCTCACTGCAACCTCCGCCTCCTGGGTTCAAGCAATTCTCCTGCCTCAGCCTCCTGAGTAGCTGGGATTACAGGCACGCACCACCATGCCCAGCTAATTTTTTGTATTTTTAGTAGAGACGGGGTTTCACCATGTTGACCAGGATGGTCTGTTGAACAGGATGGTCTCCATCTCTTGACCTCGTCATCCACCCGCCTCGGCCTCCCAAAGTGCTGGGATTACAGGTGTGAGCCACCGCGCCTGGCCTCTTAGAGCCTTTTAAAACCCAATTCTGTTTCATAGCGTCTTGGATCTAAGGGATTACAGTATTTGCTAACTCCTATGCTATATTGTCTGAGTGGATAAGATCAATTGATATAAAATTTAGAACATCATATAATTAATTCTAATATGCACAAACCAAGAACTGAGATGAGCGATTAATATAAAGGCAGCAAGCAAGTGTGTGCTGGTAAATGTTTAACAACCAGCTCTCTGAAAAGCACTGATTTGTAGCATTTGCCAAATTTTCTGGTGTTAATTACCTGTACAATGGCTCATTCCAAGTTACCAATGTGAAGTCACTGAATGTAGAGTTGGGAAAGATTCACATAATTCGCTGCCACAAGCTGGCTCCAGCACACCTATAGTTGAAAGAGATGAGAAGGTTTAAGCTGGATTTTATATTCTGCAAAGAATATGTAAAAGGTAATAGCTCAGAGTAGAAAAACCATGTGCTTAAAAGTTCGATAGACCTGAATTCAAATCCAGTCCCACTGCTTTCTAGCTTCGAGCAATGTGTTCTTTGAATCTAAGTATTAAGGTCTTTAAAATGAGCTGATAATACCTACCTTGCAAAGTTACTGAAAAATTAGAAAGGATAATGCATATAAATCACTTCAGTAGAATGTGTATTTCTGATAAGTGGTGAGCTGACTACCCAAAGCCACCAGAGGATAAGATGCTCAGACACAAAGATGCTGAAATTGGGACGAGCACGCTGAGCAAACTCTTGTCCTCTAAACTCAGAGAGTTTATATTTAGGAAGAGCAGTCTGCTTAACTGGCTATGAGGAAGTCATTCTGGTCGTAATGAGAGATGTGTATTGGAGGAATGTGGAGCACTAATATCAGATAAATATTGTATCTCAATTTTTGTTTTCTGCATAAGAAACAAGAGAAGGAAATTCATTGTCAAATAATAGAGAACACATCGCTTTGGGATCTTCGGTCCTGGCCTAATGGCAGAAGTTACAAGATATATCTGTTTCCTTGTTGTTTCTTTCTGTTGGAGTGGATTTGTTTCTAGTCTTTACTCTTAATAGGTAGCAGCCCTTCGAAAGTCCTGACTTTATGTAGGCCCCTTCCTTCCACTTTCCATCTGAGAAAGACTCAGACTTCATTCATTTGCCCTCTCCTTTTTGGTATTAACAGAGATGCCCCAGGTAACTGAGGATCAGCAGACGCCTAGATTGCTGAGACTAACAATGCATCCTCTGGAAGCCAGAGCACCGCTGTTCAAAGCTTCTCACTGTGGTTTTAGTTACAGGTTCATTTCTGAACTGGGTCTACAGTAGATAATAAAAAATATATTATATTTTAGCCAATATTGCTAGGTGCTTTTAGTGGAAGGATTTATAGATTCTCTCCTCCACAAGCAGTATGGACTCATGATAGCTGTCAAATAAGTTTATCCCTCCAATCCTATAGGCCAGACAATCCCCAATTCTATCAATTAAACCTCCCATTTCAAACCGATCCAAACTCTTGCCCTCCCACTCAACTCCCAACCTGCCCCTAGTCTTCAACCTCAGTTTCCCCGAGCCTATCCAATCCCCCTATCCTTTGATCAAACTGGAACAATCCACAATGCAAATACTGCATGGTGTGAAGTCCACGACAGTAAATGCTTTTTGTGATTTGAAGAAGGATAATAAAACTATCAGGAATCCTCACAGAAAAGTTTTAAAATGATTTTTAAATGACTTATTTATAAACAATTTTGTTAAGACCCATCCCATAGTAATTTCTAGATTTGTAAAACCCAAACTTATACCTGAAAGTTTCAGTAATTCAGAACAAAAGTAACATCTCAAAACCCCAATAAAAACAAACAAGCAAACAAACAGAAACACACTTTTAAAAAATATAAAGTCTTACACTAGTGTAAAATCCTTAGTCTTCAGTGCCGAGTCCTTGGTGTAAATCTTAACATTTTTTGTTTGTTTTTGTTTTAAGAGATGAGGTCTGATTATGTTGCCCATTCTGGCCTTGAACTCGACTCAAGTAATCCTCCACTTTGGCTCTCAAAGTGCTGGGATAACAGATGTGAGCCACTGTGCTCACATTTTTAGTGTAAAGCTTTGGGTAAAATATCCTATTGTAGAAGCTTCTATCATGGTCAATGTAATATGTAAAATTGACTAGCTTATGGTACCCGGATGTTTGGTCAAACACTAAACTGGATATAGCTGTGAAGGTAATTTTAGAATAAAATTAATATTTAAATCAGTAGACTTTCAGCAAAGTAGATTACCCTTCATAATGTGGGTAGGCCTCATTCAGTCAGGTCTTAGGAGAAAAGACTGAAGTATCCCAAAGAGGAAAAAATTCTGCCTCAAGACTTCAATATAGAAACCCTGCCTGGGTCTCCAGCCTGCAGATTTTGGATTCAGGTCTTCAACTTCAACTCTTGTTGAATTTCCAGCCACACAGATTTTGGACTTGCCAGCCACTATAATCATCTGAGATAATTCCTTAAAATCAATCAATCAATCCCTTTATTTCTATTTCACACAAACACACACAGGCATACATATATATATATTTATATGTATTAGAATATATAAATATATATTCTATTTCTCTAGAAGATTTTGACTAATACAGTCTCTATATTTAATATTAAAACTTTAAATTTTAAGAAGGTAGACATCAATCTACCTTTGAAATGAAAACGTGAGTGTGTTGAGTGTAGTGTATATTTTCTAGAAGAGCCAGGACCTGACCTTGCAGGGTTTTACCAAAGGGAGTCCTCCCGGCACGTAGCTCTGAGACCTAACTCCATGTGAGACTTTCCAGCAGATTCCTCCTCTCACCCTTTGCCCCTAGCATGGCTTTATTCCAGAACCTCTGCCAAAATACAGTTTATGGGTGCATCCTCTGGTTTAATGAAGAGATAGAGATTCCAAAACTTCTCATCAAGGCATGTTTGCTTGGCTCTCCAAAAAATGTATTAAGCTATTGACACATTCTTGGCACTGGAGCCACCTCAAAAATGGGTTAAAAGATGGGTTTAAAAATATCTTCTTCTGGCCAGGTGTGGTGGCCAACTTCTGTAATCCCAGAACTTTGGGAGGCCGAGGTAGGTGGATCACCCAAGGTCAGGAGTTCAAGATCAGCCTGACTAACATGATGAAGCCCCATCTCTACTAAATACAAAAAATTAACCAGTTGTGTTGGTACTTGCCTATAATCCTGGCTACTTGGGAGGCTGAGGCAGGAGAATCACTGGAACCTGGGGGGCAGAGGTTGCAGTGAGCCAAGATCACACCATTGCACTCCAGCTTGGGTGACAAGAGTGAAACTCCATCTCGAAAAATAAATACATAAATACTTAAAAAAAAACCTTTTCACACTCATCAGAAAGGCTATTAAAGAAAAATGGAAAATAAAGTTGGTGAGAATGTGGAGGCCTTGGAAACTTTGTGCAGTGCTACACACACTACAAGAGAGATGAGTACTGAAGACATTGTGCTGTATTACATGAAATAAGCAGGACACAAAAGGACAAATAATGTATGACTGCACCTACATGAGGTATCTAGAATAGATTCATTCACAGAGACAGGAAACAGATAGGAGTTACCAGGGACTGGGGGAAGAGATTAATCAGGAGTTATTATTTAATGAGTACAGTTTCTGTTGGGCTCATGAAAAAGTTCTGGAGGTGGGTGGTGATAATGGTTGCCTAATATGAATGTCCTTAATACCAATGAATTGTGCACTTCAAAATGATTTATATTGGTAAATTTCATGTTAATGTATATTTTACCACAATAAAAATGTACCTTCTTTGAATCATGCACATGAGTCTAGAAAAGCTTACATGGTTGGTAGAGATGATAACAGAGAAAATAGTGAGAGTCCATAATTCTATTCCAAGGAGGGAGACTAGTCCAAATGTTTCTCCAGTTTGGCTAAGAATTTGAAGATAATCAAACTTGTTTTGACATTTATTAAGCTGATGAAAATGATGAGATGGTACAGTCAAAAGGTAGAAATTAATTTTTTTTTTTTTTTGAGATTGAGTCTTGCTCTGTCGCCCAGGCTGGAATGCAGTGGAGTGATCTCAGCTCACTGTAACCTCCGCCTCCTGGCTTCAGGTGATTTTCCTCCCTCAGTCTCCCGAGTAGCTGGGACTATAGGTGCAGGCCACCATGCCTGGCTAATTTTTTTTTTTTTTTTGTATTTTTAGTAGAGACAAAGTTTCACCATGTTAGCCAGAATGGTCTCGATCTCTTGACCTCATGATCCACCTGCTTCGGCCTCCCAAAGTGCTGGGATTATAGGTATGTGCCACTGCAGCTGGCCGAAATGAATGGTTTTTGTAATTTATTCTTCCTTCTTGTAGTGCTGGACAGTTTTGTATTTTCATTGGCTCTGAATGCATGCAGTCTTGAGAAAAGCAGACCCGTCTACTTCTGAAGGTCAAGGTGGTTGTGGCAGTTCAGTTGCTCAAGTGTGCAGTGTGAAGAAGGAAGGAGACTGGATACAATTATTGCTTCTGCACTTACTAGTTTCTTCACCAGAGTTAAAGTGCTTAATCTTCTGTGCCATGGTTTCCCAGCCTGCATGTCTTCTCACTTTCGTTTATAAACTAAGATTGGTCCTAAATCACAGACACCCATAATATTAAAAAGTATTACTCATTCTTTTACATTGTGGGGTTTTTGCTCTTTCTGCATCAGATTTTCCCTGTTTATATGGCTGACTCTGAATGCTCTAGACAGTTGCTCAAAGTGAGTACTCCTATGTGCTCTGGTTATAATCTCATCCCCTTCTCTCTGAGAAGCAGATGCCAACTTTGGGTGGGAAAGGGCCACCACCCTCTCCAAAATGCATCCCTCTGTGACCATAAAACCATGTCTTTTACAGAAGAAATGCTTACTTTCCCTAGTTAGTTACATTTTTCCTATAAAACATTTTACTGTTCAAGATCAAGCAGAGCAATATTGTTCTATAAGTTTGTGATTTGCCTCAGAAACCACAGGGGTTGTGTAAGGATTTATGTTCAGAACATTTATAACCCTATAAAACATGAGGTAAAATATTTCCTTCACAAAAGAGGTGAAAATTCTGACCTGTGCTGAGAGATGAACAGGAGTGGAGGATCTGTGTGTCTGTAAAATAGCACTTTCAACTAACATTTTAATTGCATCAGACAAATTTGAGACAATCAAAATGCAGTATATCAGAGATGAGGATAAATCTTTATCAGGATATAAAAGTAACCCTCTGAGCACTTACAACAGCCCATAATGGGGCACCCAACATGGATTTATACCGAGTAAAGATTATTCGCATGTTACAGCTCACCTAGGTGGTACTAGCCCAAATTGGGACCAGTATTCTCATTAATGATA